CTGAGCCCCCCCCCCAAAAACGAACCTGGACCAGCGGGACAAGATGCAGGAGAGCTACGAGAGCGTCATCTCCCTGGGTGAGGCTTTTAATTTCCCTTAATTTATTATTATTATTCAAGGAGAATAGAATTAAAGGAATTACCTTCATTAGTGGCTGAATTCTTACGGTGGAAAAAACACCAAAATTGCCAGGATTGAGCTTAAATAGAGCCTGGGGTGGGGGGGGACGGGATTCGACCGGGCCCCCATTTCCAACCATGGCTTTATGGCTCCGGTGCCCTTGGCCATCCCCATCTTGTTGTTATGATTTTTGGGGTGAAAAGAGCTATAATCGGTCCCCAACTCTCCCCCCCCAGCGGAAGAAATCGCCATCAGTTGGCCACGGATCACCGCCTTCGCCGAATCGCACCGGAGGAGGGGGCTGGTGTCCGGTAAGTCCCCCCCCCATGGTGGCACCATCGGTGACGACCGGGACCATCTTTTGGAAGCCCCAAAACCATGGGGTGATGGGTGGGGGAGGTGGAGAAGCAGCCAAAGATGGCGGCCGCGCCATGGGGAGGGGTGGGGGCAGCCAACCGGTGGGTTTTCCCAAATTTAGGGGGGTCCTCACCCTCTTTCCCCTCCCCCCATCTCATAGACGATGGGTTGTTGAGCGAGAACGAAGAGGAAGACCCACCACCGGGCGAGCTGGAGAAGGGGGACGCCGAGGGGACGCCGGTGGGGAAGCCCAAAGGGACCAGCCCCACCGGTGCGGAAGGGACAAAACCCAACGAGAGTCCCCAAAAAGCCGAAAATCAACCCAGAAAACCCTCGGGCAAGCGACAGGCTAAATCGGGCCACCGGGGCTTCAAGAAGTTCCCCCCAAGGAGCTTGTTGGGCCACGGGCGCTGCCACGACTGCGGCAAAGCCTTGGCCTTCGGCTCGGCCTTCAACAAACGCCGGCGCGGCACCGAGCGGCCCCACAAGTGCCCCGAATGCGGGAAGTGTTTTCGGCTCAGCTCCACCCTCATCACCCACCAGCGCCGACACGCCGGCGAGAAACCCTACAAGTGCCCCGACTGCGGCAAGACCTTCAGCGTGGGCTCGGCCTTCATCCAGCACCAACGCGTCCACGCCGGCACCGCCGCCGGCGCCGCCCCTTGCCAATGCGGCGTCTGCGGGAAGAGCTTCACCGCCAGCGCCAGTTTGGTCAAACACCAAAAACTCCACCTGGAGGAAAAACCCTACAAGTGTGGGGATTGCGGGAAGGGCTTCAACTGGAATTCCCACCTGGAGCGGCACCGGCGCATCCACACCGGCGAGAAGCCCTACTCCTGCCCCGAGTGTGGCAAGAGCTTCAGCTGGAGCTCCCACCTCGACCGGCACCGCCGGACCCACGCCGCCGCCGCCGCCGGCGAGCCCCCTTGCCGTTGCGCCGACTGCGGGCGCTGCCCGGCCCCTCGCGCCGCCGAAGGCTCCAAAACCCCCGAGAAGGCCTTGCAGTGCAACGAGTGCGGCAAAGGCTTCACCAAGAGCGCGGCCTTGGCCAAGCACCGGAGGGCCCACGCCGGCGAGAAGCCCTACAAGTGTGGGGAGTGCGGGAAGGGGTTCGGCTTGAACGCGGCCTTGCTGCAGCACCAACGGAGCCACGCCGCCGGCAAACCCTACCAGTGCGGCGACTGCGGTAAGAGCTTCGCCTGGAGCTCCCATCTCGACCGGCATCGGCGCATCCACATGGGGGAGAAACCCTACCGCTGCGGGGACTGCGGGAAGAGCTTCTCCCAGAGTTCCCACCTGGAGAGGCACCAACGCGTCCACGCCGGCGCCGAGCAGCCCTGCCAATGCACCGACTGCGGCAAGAGCTTCTTGGCCTCCAACAAGCGCCGGCGGTTGTTGGCCGGCGCCGCCGGGGAACGACCCTGTAAATGCACCGATTGTGGAAAGAGCTTTCTATGGGGGGCCCGGGCCCGACCGGCGCCGGAGAGGACCCACAAGTGCAGCGAATGTGGGAAGAACTTCACCTACCGGGCGGAGAACGTCAAGCACCAAGGGACGCAGACCGGGGAGAAGCCCTACACCTGCCCTGAATGCGGGAAGAGCTTCGGGCAAAATTCGGCGTTGGTGAAACACCGGCGGATGCACACGGGGGAGAAGCCCTACAAGTGTGGGGATTGCGGGAAGAGCTTCAGCGTCCGCTCCAACCTCATCAAACATCAACGCACCCACCTCGGCGAGAAGCCCTACAAGTGCCCCGACTGCGGGAAGGGCTTCATCCAGAAGTCGGACCTCACCAAGCACCGGCGGATGCACACGGGGGAGAAGCCCTACAAGTGCAACGTCTGCGGCAAGTGCTTCAGCGTCTCCTCCAACCTCATCAAGCACCAGCGCATCCACCT